TCTCCGCTTTTCATCCATCTGCTTATATTTCACTGCTTTTAGCATTTTTTTCCAGAAGAAGAGTTAGAGCACAAAGGATGTTTATCATTATTTCAAGGTTTTCAGAGGGTTTAAGTACCTCTGGCTTTGTTTGTCAGTCTTTATCTTTCAGTAAGTATAGTATAATTAAACACTAAATAATAAAAGACAGAAAAGGTATTCAAAACAGTAATATGAAGTAAGAACCAAAAGGGAAAACATGTGATATCTATAATTTCTCTGCAATCTACAATCTCTCTGTACAGCCGACCAAGTGTCTAACTTTAGTCACAAAAATGAGCTAAATGTGATTGCAGTTTGCTATACTGTTAGAGGAAATAAGGCAACCAGCTGCAACGCTTTTTTGAGTTTACTCAACTTTACGGTCAGCTAGTTGTGTCAGCTCAGTTTAGAAATTATTTATCAAACTTTTATGTTTAAATGCTTAAAACTTTCTCGTTATGACACCTGATATTTCTTGTTCAGATAACTTACGAAATTAAACGAACAACTGTATGGGCTTTCCAGTTGTATTCCTAAATCCAAGACCAAACCCTGACAAATAATTTGTCACTAATGAAACATTGTGTTTGTGATCGTTCAGTTTTTTCCTGTTTATTGTTTCATAAGGCAAACAGCTACATCAAAGTGACTCTTCAAGAATGAACATCTGTCAAAGGCAGCAGACCTGTGCTCAGAGGTAAAGCAGATTCACATTGTGTTACAGTCTTTTATGAAGGCCGTGTCATGGTGTTCAGACAGCTTATCAGACCCCCACCTAGAAATAGTCTCCACACAGCGGACCTGTTTGTCCTTTCACGTTCCACAGAGTGTCAGAAAACGAGACAGTGGTGGAAATTTTCCATTCCCCTCTGTGACAGGCAGGATAATTGGCTTTCAGTCACATCCACTCCGCTGGAGAAGCAGGTGCTTTTTAGGGCCGTATTCATAAAGTGCTGTGTCACATCTGCTATAGAAAGGGGGAAAAAATGTGTGTGGAAGACAATGTGACTGGGTGGCTTTTAAAGTTCTAACTATATTTACATAGCACCTTTCAAAACAAAGATACAAAGTGCAATAAAAACAAATAACAAAATAACAATAAAAACTATTCACATAATTACAACCATAATTTAAGAAAAGCCATAAGATAAAAGTGAGTTATAAAAAGAGTATACTGAGTGTCTGCTGAGAGTCTGCCTGAGATCTCCATGCTGGGAGTTCCATAGCTGAGGCTCGGTCACCTTTAGTGACAAGTCGAGATTTTGGAACCATTAGTTATAGGGCCTGGCCGGAGGGTCTGAAGCAGCGATCAGGCTCAGGAAGTTGGCAGATTACAGATATAAACTGGAGCCTGACAATTCAAGGCTTTAAAAACAAGCAATAAAATCTTAAAATAAAAGATAAATAAATAGAACCAGTGAAGGGCATCAAGGATTGGTGTGACGTGGTTGCCTCTCTTGTTAAAGAGAAGCATTTTGTATAAACTGCTGTGGATGTTTAGGATGTTTCACCTGATATAGTCAGGTCTGGAGGAGATAAATACATGGATGACCTTTTCTAGATCTGCAGATGAAAGGAATGACTTGATTGAATAGACATCCAATTCCCAATTCCAGCAAAACAAAACAATGAGTGGTACCAGGCTTTAACGGGACATCCATGAGGCAATGAATATTATGATATAATGTTTATGCATGATTTGCCCCAGGGGTAGCATGTATACTACAGTTAATGGGGGACCCCTGGGGGACACCACATAAGAGAGGAGCACAAGAGGAGGAATATGTGTCTCACAAAAAATGCTTTCATACGGTGTTTGGAGTACTTGACAACTGTACTTCTCAACCAGCGTTGTATCATTACAATGTGGGTAGTATGCAAATGAACAAGTATATGCAAATTAGCTTGTTGCCTGCACCCACTGTTGCCACTCATGTTGCAGAACTCAGTGCTCATTTGCCGGCAAAAGTCTGCCTGATGACGCAGGCAATCAAACAGCCCAGTGCATTCTGTTTGTTGTAGGTGTTCTACCTTTTGAGCAAAAGGAGATATCACATCCCCTTTTCCCTGTTTTCTCTGGTCAAGTAGCACCAATTCCAGAAATATTTGCTTCTTTTTATAGCCCAGTTTTATGAAGAGACCATCTTTCCAGCAGTAAAATACCCCTTTAAGTTTATCAATAAATGTTTCAAATTATCCAGTGGAGTGTGGTCAGGCTATGATAAAAATACAGTCGACCAAGGCCTCTCATGTAGTCTATTAGCATAAAAAGGAGAATGCCTTCCAAAACAAAAAGTTTTTTTTACTCTGCATGTCAATGTTTTATCTGCTTCCCACTGCACTCCAACCTGAATGGATTTGGTTGATAGAACAACATGAAGTGAAAAATTGATTGACATTTTTTAATCCCTTCTTTATATCTCAACTCAAGGAGAGGCAGCTCATTCACACCATAATCATTTCCTCTCTAAATAAATTCCTTGGGAACTTTTCTTGCCCAGAGCTGCCTCTCCTGTCATCTCCTGTGTTTTTTCTTTCTTTTTTTTTCATGACTTTAATCATCTCTGTGACTGATGGTGCTAAAACACTTTTACTAAATGTTAATCTCATAATCATTTCATCTGACAACACACAAGCTTGAATAGCTTTTAGCCAGCAGTGATTTATTCATGGCTGAAGTAATATTGCTCTTCAGCGTGGCCCATTTCCTTGAGTCTCATGGGATGCCATATAATGCTCAACTTGTCACACCAGCTCTGAGAGGGAGAGAGTGAGGTGCAGGGACAACTTTGAATACATTGAGAGACCACTTTACATGTTATTGCCTCTTGGAGGCATTTCCCTGATGATATAAACCTCTAAATTGCAAAGTGAAAAACCTGTTAATGTTTCGGCGCTCCATCATCTGCCACTTTTAAAGTCAATCAGTCAGCATACAATCAGTATTCTCCTCCAATCATGAGCCATACATGGGTGAGGAGAGACACCAGGCTATTACGGTTCCACTGTCTCCTGTCACAGATATCCATTAAAGGGTCTTTATTGGGTCCAGGACCATTACCAACAAAAAAGGTAATCCAGTTGTCTTTACTCCTTTAATATTTTTTTATGGTGTCCTCTCTCTCCATCTTTCCCTCCCTTCTGAATTACATCCTCGTCCTCTCTCAGCTATTAGGTGAACACAATGAGGCAGAGTTTTCACATGAGAGCAAATACCACATTAGACAAATGACAACAAACAAAGAGCATCATTAGTATACCCACATAATACAGACGCCTTCACATTTAAGTAGGCTTTTAAAGCTCTCTCTGGCTCTCTGGGTTTGCTGACTGGCTGCATCCTCGAAAAAAAATTAACTCTCACTATTTAGTATGTTGACAGTCCAGTCTGCTATAGCAGCCTCAACTCTTCTGGTTTCAGTCTTCCCACAAGACTTTAGAATCTGGCATCAGGGATTTTCTCCCATTCAGCCACAAGCGCATTAGTGTGGTCCAACACGGATGCTGGACGATAAAGCCTGGCATACCAGTTCATCCCAAAGTATGGGGTTGAGGTCAGGGCTCTGTGCAGGCCTGTCACATTCTTCCACACAGGGAAAACCATGTCTTTATGGACCTGGTGTTATGCACAGGGGTATAGTCATATCAAAATTGCAAAGGGCCTTCCCCAAACTGTTTTTTTTGGAAGCAATCTATAATAGTGTAGTCTAAAATATCATGGATTAGGCTCCAATCTTGCTCTACAAATTTGCAACTTTGTGATCAACTTGAATAAACAAAGCTATTTCATCACCAAAACATTCATGTTATAAGGCGTCCAGTGGTGGGAAGTTAATTTACTTAGGTAGTACACTTTTAAAGTATTCCTACTCCAGTATTTCCATTTTCTAAAACGTTACATTCAACTTAACATTAACATTTTAGAGGCAAATTGTACTTTTTACTCCACTACATTTGTTTGACAGTTATAGTTACATTGGAGATTACAATTCTGAGTTAGTAACAACAATCCATGTGTAGTAAATGTATATAAAGATCATAATAATGTGCGTACTGTATAATAATATAACATTGACAGGGGCCTTTCTACTGCACAATTTTACTTTTGATGCTTCAGTACATGTCACTGATACTTCTACTACTTTGAACCAGTCCAGTTCTCAAGGAATAAATGTCTAAACACATATATCAACTGTCATTTCAGGACTCTGCAACTGTTTTGACTCTCCATAAGAAGTAAACTAAACTTTATGTGTAAAAAATCAACTGAGGGCTCCTTCAATCCGTCTCTTTTTTGGGGGGCCACCAACTTTATGGGAGTGCCAATACTCCTTCAAATCCCACTGACAATAGGTATGTGAAGGAATTTCAGTGTCAGCCGTACAGATTTATATTCATTTGTTGACATATGTCTCCCCCGTGCGGCTAAAGGTGGAATCACACCGTGGCGATGTCAACAGATCTGTGGTCATTCATGTTGACTTCTGTTTATCAGCATCCGGGAAGGACGAATACGAACCAATTCAATAAAGTTGTGATGTGGGAGTCGTTAAAGTGATAATAATAATGATAATAGCAATATTGCATAACATATTAACAATGTATTTGTGGTCTCATAAGTCTGGTCCCAAGGAACCACAGTGCAATAACAACACTTTGTCGTTCATTCATGCGCATTTAGATGTGTTTAACGGGTGGTCGAGATGAACAATTATAAACATATTTATTATAAAACCCGATTCAAATCGCAGACATACACTCCTAAATGTCTGCTGGTGTTTTTAAAAGTCCATTCAAGTGACGGCGACGCCACCTTTAACTTCTATTCATAGTAGAAAACACGACGCCGAGTGATTCAGGAAGAGCCGCTGGAAAACGGACGCCTCTTACAGCCAATGGCGTGGCAATGTTTGCACGCTAAGCCCGCCTTCGTGAAAAACCGACCAATCACTGGCCGCGACGGCAACTTCCGCCACACAGACGGAGCATGTCCATTGTACGAGGTGTTCTGAACGAGTACCGCGATTGTTGAGGTGCAGGCTGGTAAAATACGCGATTTTCCCGAAAAGTTGTGTCATCTGCCGTAGCCGACTGTCGCCGTGTAGCTCGGCGGCGTATGAAATCGTTGTCACACGCGAATCTTACCGAAACGCAGCCGGTTGTTAGAGAGACAAACAGCGGCGGTCGTCTCCACCACCATAGGAATCTGTCCGTTAGCGGCGGACCCTGATAGCACCGGAGCTAGCTGACGTTAGCAGCCGCTGTGTTGTGCTGTGAATCCGCCGAAAGACCTGTAGAAATATGTCTCTAACTGGAGGTCGTCGCGTTTCGAAATAAATAAGTCACCGGAGTCGGGAGAGAGCACCGAGAGCTGTTAGCTCGCGAACTAGCCACTTAGCCGAGCTAGCTACGCTAACGCTACCGGATTGTCTTTCACAAAAGGACAACGCGTGAACAAGAGACTCGGCAGCAAACCCTCAACGCTGGCTTTTCTTTTTCCCCCTTTTTTCTGATTGTTTTTATTCTTTCGGCCATCGCACCAAGAGCACCCGCAGTCGTACAGAATGAATGGGTTCAGCACGGAGGAGGACAGCCACGATGGACCGCCTGCTCCGCCGTTTTATGGACAGAGCTGCTGTCTGATCGAAGACGGAGAGCGCTGCGGCCGGTCGGCTGGAAACGCCTCCTTCAGCAAGAGGATCCAGAAAAGCATATCGCAGAAGAAGCTCAAACTGGACATCGACAAGAGCGTAAGTGACACTACGACACGAGTCAGCGATTTGTGTGTGTGTGTGTGTGTGAGCTGAAAGTTATAGAAGACCCACAACTTCCTGTTGTTTGGGTGTTTATTACCGAGGCGACTGGTGGTGCTATCTGGTGCTTGTTGTTTGTACTTGTACGGTGCAGGACAAACACGGTCCTGTCCACGTACAGCTTTATCTCATTGCAAACAGTTTCCTTCCACACGCCTCCGCTGTTCTACATAAAATGGCTGTTGACCAGGGAAGCCAACTGTGTTGTTTAACTTCAGTCCCAGTAAAAGAAAACGGCCTCATTCAAAAGTGGCTTTAAAAACTAGCAGCATTTAAATGTCGGTCGAAATACCACACACTTAAAGTTACACTGTCCCGGAACTATATTTCTGGTGGTACTTGTGTTTCGTTAGTTTTTACAGCTTTTACATTACATGCTGTTTTTAAATGGCAGACACCGGCCTGGTTACAGTGTGAAGGCCACAACTGTCCCAAGGCCCCAGACCCCCCACAGACCTCAGTCCTGTGTGGCAGTCATGTGTAAGTGTAGTCATTTGACTTATAGTGGAGCAACCTGGGAGTATGCACCAGAAGTGGGGGAAGAGTAGGTCCATCTTCTCCTGTTTTGTTTGGCTATTAGTGCCAAAACCCAAGCAGATAAACGTACAGTGACACAAGCACATTGTCACATTTTAGAAGCTAGATCTAGCAAATGTCTCAATACAAAACACAAAATCTACCACTACTGTGTCAGAATCTGATTACATCGTAATTTATCTTTCACATTGTGCATTTTCCTAAGTACATTTGTCTTTAACTCAAGACAATGACACAGCAAACCTGGGGGGCAGGGCGATATTCCTGCCATGTGTAATCCGCTCTGTTCCCTGTACCTGATGAGTACTCGGGGCTAACAGGATGCATACACAATGCACAAAGAGTTGGAGGAACCAGGGGGTCGGTAGGGGCCCTCTAGCTCAGCTGTGCCCCAAGGCCCCCCCCAGCACACAGCAGTGTCTTTTCATGAATGCAAGGATGTCTTAGCGAATGTGTTGTTGCTGCTATAAGCCACTCAGCACTCTGCTTTCTAGTCCTCATTGTATCCAGGGCCCTTTTATCTGGTCTTAGATTCCTTAAAAGCATTGTGTGACTTGTTGCTGAAGCAATACAGCCAGAGGAATCAGCTCAGTTGTCTTCAGTGTGTGTTCTGCTGTTTGCCCACAAGTCTTTCCAGGCATGCTGGCACTCATGTGACGAGTCACATGTTGTGAGTGTGGACCAGAGGAATGAATGCACATGAGGACAGAATTAATGTCAAGCATTGGCATTACAGACAACCTGTAGTTGGAGCTAGGCATCGGATCTCACTCCTCTGTAGCACTGAAGTGAGGTTGTGTGCAGAGAGTTTGATACTTCCTGTTTTAAGTCATAACTTTGGCAGTTTTATACTCGTTTATCTTGGCAAAGTTCTTGCACGGCTGCTTGTGTTAAGACAACATTGCTGTGTTTGATTATACTTTGAATTTAAACACTACTGAAGTCTGGTTTTGTTAAAGGGTAAAGGGTTTTATATTCCTCCAAGTAAGGTTTAAAAAAAAAAAAAAAAAGAACTGTTTTGCTATCAGTACTGAAACTTTTAATAATGAAACCACTAACGAAAGCCTGCGAGAGTATTGCTGTATCATCCTACACTAGAGCCGCGTGACTGCTCAACTAAACGTTTTGTACATACACTACTCCTGTTTAATACTCATTTATATCTTTACAGGTGCGACACCTCTACATCTGCGACTTTCATAAGAACTTCATCCAGAGTGTTCGCAACAAGAGGAAGAGGAAGACCAGTGACGACGGAGGAGAGTCCCCGGACCATGACGTGGAGGTGCCTGAGGTAATGTTACTCACAATGTTCAGCACAGACGTGACACTGAAGCACTTCTAATTTTACAGAGGAACAAAAGTAAACAGGGTGCACAGGAAGCCGTAAAACATCAACTGCAATTGTTAGAAGATCTGCTCGTAAACCACCATTAACAGTGTATTACATAAAAGTATATTATTACTCTTTTTTGAGAAATGCATATTTATCTTGTGCTCGTGTGCTTTTTAGTGCTTATTGCTGCAATGACCCAATTTCTCCACGGAGATCATTAAAGTTTCATCTCCTTTAAAAGCAGGAAAAGAGGCAGAAGCCTGTGGGAGTTTTAAGTAAACCACTGAAATGTGCCCAAGATAGAGACGGGATGAAAAGTTGGCGTCTCTCATAATTCACTGGCTGACTACATTCCTGCCTCTGATTTTATTTATTTATTTATTTTTTTACAGGTCGACCTTTTCCAGCTGCAGGTGAACACGTTGAGACGCTACAAGCGACACTACAAACTGCAGACCAGGCCCGGACTCAACAAGGCCCAGCTGGCAGAGGTAAAAATATCACATTAATGCGATGATGTTGTCCTCTACATGTCGGGTCTCTTTGTTCTCGTGCACCTTGCGGCGCCAGTGTAGTGGCCCAGAATCATCCCATATGACGCACCTCAGCCAATGAAATTTGTGCAACTCAACTGTGAGTGAGATGCACAGGGGACACGAGATGAAAAACAGTTTTTCCCGCCGGTGGACAGTGGCAGTTAAAAGGGGCAGTGTGAAGCGCCACTGACGTTAGAAGACAAAGCACAGAGCATCGTTTGAGCAAACATATCCCCTCAAATCTGTACATAGTACACAGAAAATAAACAACCTAAGAGACAACATGATACATCCAGAAAGAGGAGCGTTTGTGTTTTTGATGGTATTAATAATTTGGGATTTCCCAATACCCTGCTATTCTGTAATACCATGATACTGTTCAGCATTGACCATGAAACCATGTCAATACAGTGCACTCGCCCATTTCCACTGCATGAATGATTCCAGGAGCTCAGGATCCTTACTGAGGTCAGAATGTTGTTCCTCTGGCATAGTTCCTGGTTTGGAGTTCATATGAGGACTAACCATGCACTCTTGACGGGGTTAACGAGATAGGGATGCAAAGCAAGTGTTTTTCTCGTGTTTACTCTAGTGCTACTTTAATCTGGTCACTCCGCTGCTCCTCTTTCCCTCCATACACACACACACACACACACACACTAACACCTCTGTCTCTCTGCACTGCTCTGCGTACACACCAGTTTGCTCTGCCCCGCCTCTTTCTGTTCCCCTCACACTGTCTGTTGACTCAAGTTGTCATCAGTGAGTGTTTATAAAGGCACCCAAAAAACACTCGCAGTGTTGTTTTCACAACAGCATTGACCATAAAAAATGAATGATACCTAAAGTGGTACCGAATTACTTTCCCCTATACCACATGTTTTATTTATTAGCCGTTATCAAATAACAACAAAGACCACATTTATTTCAGAAACTTGACGTGCCTTTGAAAAACATCCGCCTTGCTCTCCTACTTTCAGCAAACTGTGCAGTACATAGTTAGGAGTTTGACAACATTCTATAATGCCATCCAACTAAGGCTGAAACATTTCCTCAAGTAACTAGCTAGCATCAGTTTAAGTGTATCTACTTAAATACTGTCCTTTAGATTTAAGGCCAAGGATTCATAACAAGATGAAGGGGAGCTTTACTCACGCCGGCCGATGGCGGCCCCGGTGCCTCGGACTCAGCTTGTCAAATCTCTAGTGGCTGGTTTTTGGACTTGTCAACTTGTAGCGAAGTCAGCTGGTCAAGTCAGTTACAGACTGAAATGCAACAGTGTTTAATGTAACACATTATCACGCTCCTCACTCACATTTAGGGCGCTAAAAATTATATCCAGCTACAAAAAACCTTGTGTCTGAACTGGGCTTTACAGAAACTTAATTTCACAACTTTGAAGCAGAATCCTTGGAGGAAACTATTGTTACTTTTTCTTTGATCCCTCTTTTCCCTTTGGAATAATCGTCGTTTATACTGTGTAACACTGAAGGCCACTGAGCTGCCCTCATTAGGCGAGCCCGGCCTCTTTCTCCCCCAACCCTCGGCTCCGTATTACTCATTTACCGTGATATACGCAGTGTCGCAGGTCCTATTCCACAGTAATTGGCCACGGAGAGATTGTTAGGCTAATTCGACAAATCGACAGGTGGACTTCATGCAGCTGGCTCTGCCCTTGTCCCGACAAATACCTCCTGTATGTAGTGCTCCGCTGCGAGGGGGCGGGGTCGGATGTGACCACTAACAGTGGGAATGAATGAATGAACACTGGGCCGTAAGTTGAATGTTTCCCCAGGCTTTTAGTCAGGTTCAGGCCCTAATGAGCCTCCCACATCATTAATAAAGCACCAGTCAACAGCCCACAACCAGTTGCAGCTGTCACCGTGTTCAGCCCCGTTCAGGAGGACCAGTGGCTGCAGAGCAGAGAGAGGCTGCTTGGAGGATGTTTCTTTTCTTTATAAATCCAAGCAGCCATTAGTTAGGCTTCAGTTGAGTTTTGATTAAACGTCTCCCACAGTGTTTCAAAAACATCAAGTGTTTTAAAGCTGCTTAAATTTAAATGTGAGATGTACCCTGTAAGTTTTTTCCTTTTTAACCTCTTTACCGTCTCCTCCTCCTCCTCCTCCTCCTCCTCCTCCTCCTCCTCCTCCTCTGTAGACGGTGAGTCGTCACTTCAGGAATATACCGGTGAACGAGAAGGAGACGCTGACCTACTTTATTTACATGGTGAAGAGCAGCAAGAGCCGCTTGGACCAGAAAGGTGACGGCGGCAAACCGCTGGACTAAACTTCCCAACAACAACCACAGCAGCTCCCAACAAAAATCAGTAATCGACAACCACAGTGACAAACAACAACAACAACAACAACAGCAATTCACAAAGCCTGGACACCACTAACAGCAGCAACAGCTACAACCAGCTCCTCGTGCAACCCTGTCACCGTCCCAACTCCTCTGTGAGACCAGAACACAAACACTTGTTGTCCTTTTTATAGTTAACTGAAATGGAGGAGAACTCGTGGCGGGATGAGTTCACTTTAGCTCATTTTGCCGTCTTCACATAAAAATTAAAAAAAACAGCCTGTCCGCGCATGACGTCACAACGGTCGATCCTCCTCTAATCCACTTTCTCTCCTCCGCAAAAATCCAGGTCCCTAAAGACTGTCGAGGACCAGGACTCACTCCGCAGGGTTTTATGTCGTCATGCTGTAATGTAACTTGTCAATATGTACAAAAGAACAGCGTCCGATCTTTAGTAACTTGGTTGAATGCAATGTACAATATAGCTGCCTTAAGAGTAAAAATACGAAACACGTTTTCGGTAATTTGGGGTAAATTTTTTTTTCTTTCTTTGCCGATTTGACTGTTAACACGTTCACCGCGAGGAGTGCTTGTGCCAAACAGGAAAGCGTGTGGGAACAGAATGATGATGAGTGGGATTTATTTGTTTTTTTTTTTTTTTTTTTATTGTGAATGAATGAATCGTTGGAAATGGGCGCCGCCTTCACTGAAGTTACATCAAGCATATCAGGACTCAGGGTCCGTTCGCTCCTTTTTAGTGGCACAAAATTCACATGAACTCTTCATTCTAAATGAAAAAACAAGCTGATCTCAGTCCTGTGATCTTTTAGTCGCCCCTTTCCAACTGCACGTGGTGCGTTTAAACGTGGATGTTGGTGAATGATGTAGCATTTGGCTATGCCCCACTCTTCTCCTCCTCGCCAGCTGTTTTATGTATGTATGAACACACACACACACACACATACTGATCTGTTTTCTCTGCAGGTGTTGGTAGCTGATTTCATTCTTTTTTCTTTCTTTCTTTGTAACCCGATTTTCTCCTCGTCTGTTTAGTTCAGCCTTAAGTTGTATAAAGATGCGTCTGTCTGCATATGATTTTGATTTCTCCATATTTGATTCCACCTGAAGTGGGATTTGTGTGTGCGATAGGGGTGTAAGAGTAACTATTAGCGTCATTTTAATATTTAAGAGCAGTGTTTAAATTGAACAACTCTTGATAAGAAGCTGAGTTGACAAGTTGGCCAGATGACTAAAGCAGTACAAATGAATGTTCAAATAATCAAATTGAAACATGGATATGGATGACTTCCTTCCATATCGACCAGCAGAGATCACTATTTTAGTGAAAGTTGGTTAACGAGGTCTTGAAGAGTTTTTTACATTTTTATGTCCAGTTGAAATAATCCTGCTGGTTGACGTTTATGTCCCCAGAATGTCTGTAAAGGTTCAATGTGAATCTAATTTGGGACCAAAAGTAGCATCACACCATAACTGGGTTCATTTTGTTGGTATTTCTTTACGCTCAGATTCAATTTATGACCATCTTACCTTCTTAAATGATTTACATTGCAGTGACTCTGCATTTTGGCAATTATTTATATGCCCAAGATATCCATTAATTGTTTGCTTTGGGCAAAACTTCATTTATTTTATACATTTCACTGTCCAAAACCTCAACGGTTTTCAGTTTGTGATGATAGGAAGCAGAGATGTCAGAATTGAAGATGTTCATTATTTGTTGAATTGGGTCTTGTGTTTCAATAAGCCACAGGCTGTGATAGGAAGCGACCAATAATCACCAGTGACCCCGAGTCAACATGAAACATTTGAGTCAACGTTGCTGAAAACCTGCAAGTTTATTTAAATTCTTAATGCACTGCTGAAACCTGGACAACTAGATTTTTGCATCCTCAAACTACAACTCTTCCACTCCAGCTCTGTGTTTTTTTTTACATAGGTCGTACACAGTTTGGAGTTTCTGTTGGGATTTTTTTTTTTTAAACTCTGCCTCTTCTGTTACACATTGTATTTAAGTTTGTCCACCACACTGTTTCTTTTCTTTTTGTCATAATTTCAATTTTGCTTGTAGGTTTGTTAGTGTCATGTAGATAACATCCAACTTTATTAACATATAGGCCAGGCCACATTAACCTAATTGTTGTATTAGAAAAAACATATTTAAAATATGGCTGCTTATTGCTCCTAATGATAATAAATGTATTGTACAGGAAAAGCAACAGTCTCGTCTTTTTTGTTCAACTTGTCTGAGTTATTTTCAGCTGTTTTAACGCTGTATACAGGAACATATATGCAAAATAATGAGAGTTAAGGATGAAGAAAAAAAAGTTGAATGACAATGCAGTTCTGCTGGATGTGTGTTTGTGGGAAAAGATTAGTTTCTTCCGGCTCTGTTGTTGCAGTAACCGGCCGCGGCCACTAGGTGTCATTGTTGGTCCTCATATTAGTTTCTAAAGAGTGCATTTTAAAACCCCTGGATACTTTTAGAGGAAAACAAACTCTACATAGAATTAGCAGCAGCGTCAAAACATTTTATAAGAGTAGACCAAAAGGAGCTGTATCTGGAAAGATCCAGTGGTATTCAAGTTTATGGATCTCTATCGAGATTTGTATATCATTTCATACCAAAGATCCGGTCTGTAATCTTCTGCGTCCGCACGTTTGACATATACAGGCCTACCTTTGGATAGTACCCATTGACAGTGGTACCATATTTGCATTTATTCCAGTGAGATGTCCCTTTTTCACTGTTCTCCATCACTAACCATAGTTATTTTATAGGTTATTAACAGACTGTAGCCCACTGGTCTCTAAGCTATTTAAAAATATATATTTTTTTTTAGTGTGTCGTGTAGTCATCACTACACAGAATAAATTGTTACATGCACTAGCTAATCGGCTAAAGAGGATTATAAATGATTTTATTTAACTATCAGGACTTTAATTTAGGATTCATATTTGTTTATTATGTTTCATGATTTTCTGAAGCAGTTTTTTATTCTATAGCTTACACAGCATGACTGGGACACTGGATTTTAAATTAAAATTCAACATTTTTGTTAGAATTGTGTAAAGTTTGAAATCCAAATGTATAGTCTAAAAGTACTTTTAAAAAATGTGTGATAAATATACAATAAATAGAAAATAATCCGAATTCTGACTCGGAAGTAATTGTAAAGAAATCGCCTGTATATTCTGAGATTAACTTCAAACTGAAACAAAACTTTAAAATTAACTCCTTGTTAAATCATTACTATATTAACGTGAGGCCGATCCTCCTCCATTGATTATTACCGTTACTCTCCCAAAAACACAGGTAACAGAAAAAGCAAGACAATGGAAACTTGTATTGGGGGGAATAATGTATGTTTAATAAGACATGGATTATTAGCTGAATAATGAGACAGTTAAATAAGAAAAGAAAAAAAAACACACCTTCACAACAGCTGGAGTGTCTTAAAATAATTCATTTATTTACGGAACTATATATAACTTCACATCCAATGTACATTTGCATCAACATTTCGCACAGTAATAAACCTTTAATCCGTTTATTAGTTTTAGTGTTTTACATGTCGGAGTGAAAGCTGTGCGTCAGCTCAACATTCAGTCTAGTGTTCGTCTCCTCAGAGCGGACAGTGACATTAATTTTGAGGTAGATTCAGTAAATTCAATAATGTTCTACAAGAAACGTCAACAACAGCCGGTATAGTTTACAGTACAGTAACATTACTGGGATAATAATATTTTAGATATTCAGGCTGCGCCAAATTTAGCGGAATGAAAAAGTGACAGAAAAAAAAAGTTTCCCTTCAAAAAATGTGTTTCCTTCTAGGCTCAGAAATTATTTCTAGTCTTGCTGGGTAGTTTTCGTTTTTATTATTTTTTTCCGTTCTTAAAGGAAATTACTTTACAAAAAAAGCCTGTGTAGTTGGAATCCAAATCAGGCAATACATTAGATTGTTTATCCGGTATTTATAATTAGCTTCAATTATTAATTCTTTAATATTATAAAATCAAAATGTCAACTTTTGACTTAACATCACGTGACGTTCATCATGCATGTGGGATGTTAAGTAATTTTTTTCGTACTTGAAAATGTACAAACTATAGAAAGTTTCCAGGCCAGACTGCAGTAATTAAATAAAATAAAATAAAATATAACAAACAAAATCGTTTGCCTTCACGATAATTTAATTTCCCAGCGGCGTTGAACTCAGCACGCTGCCAGCACTCAGCAAAAAACAGAATAAAAATAATCCCAGAACTGCTTCTAAAACTACAAATTAAAGTGGAGATAATTGAGTGTCATAACTGTTTTCTGATTGGACGAAAAAATCTGCTGATCAACACCTGTCACCTCCTGGAAACTCACCGGAAGATCAGCACATAAATCTTCTGCAGTGCGGCTCGTGGGGCTGTGATCTGGCGTCATATCCGAAATAATCCCCCCCCCATAAAAAAAAAAAAAAAATGTAATCAGAAAATAGTTTAATTTGTTCACTTCTGCAATTACAACCCCACTCATTTACTCCACTACGCATTTTGTTATAATTATTTATTTTCTGCTCATTAAATGTGGAAATCACCACCAACTCTATGCCAGATAAAAACACTTTTTTTTTTTTTTCGGGGGGGCAGATGTTTTTTGACACCGTGGCAACATCTGGTCTACAGTACTAAGGGGGGGCATCAAAAAGCAGAAATACCACAAATATCAAACACCTACAGTCGGATTTGTGTGTCGAGTTAGAAACCCACACCAGGAGAAACAGAAGATCAACAAAGAGTCCATCGCGGTGTTTTTCCTTCGCAGTTCACCTCGTTTGCTTGTTGTCTTGTAATTCTCTCTTTTTGCGCATCATTGCACGTGCACAGCGGTGTGTTTAGGTTCAGTCAGTCAGTGGTTTTTTTTTTTTTTTATCTGATTTGAATCCAGAGTCTCTGAGGAGGAGGAGGAGGAGGAGGAGGTGGAGGAGGAGGAGGAGGGGCGTCACTGGTTGAGCTCCAGAGCCCAGACCTGCTGCGGCCACCCGGTCCGGCCCTTCACCTTCTTCTCGGCTCCTAATGACTCCTGCAGGCCGTCAGTCTGTGACACCAAAAACACCAAATTATCATCAGCAGGGGAGGCTAAAATACAGGAACCTTAACCTCAGCAGCTCAGCGCAGGGAGAGTCACCGGAACTTTCAGTGGATAATGCAACCTTTCCTGCGACATCTCTACACCACACAATTATATCACAAGTTTACGCTCATCTGAGAGTCTGGAAGGTACATTGGTGCCAGATCATGGTGCATGCTGGTTTTTGAGGGCCATAATATCACAGGTTATCATTAACAAGAATTGACCATATTTATATACCAAACATATATCACATATTATAATATTCAATAATGATGCATATTTTAAAACAAACAAAACAAACAAACAAAAAGTATAAACAGTAAAACAGTATTCTTGAGCTAAATTTGAATTGCATTGTTTTGTGTAAATATAGGACTATTTATTATGAGAACTATTTCAATATAATAGTAAACACAAACGTTAACGACCAATATACACACACATATGTAAGCAAATATAATTTTAAATGGAGAAATATAACTATACATTAATGAGGATATAACTGATGTGGGCTGGTTGTCATTATGGTGATCAACAGCTGGGGATATTTTAAGCAGGCGCCATTTTACATCAAAAATATAATTGAGTGTTGTTGTTTCTTTTTTAATTATTCTATTTAACTATCTATTTAGTTATTTAGTTGTAAGTTTTATTGTGGATACTGTAGTCTTGTTTATAGGCTAGTGGATCATAACCAACAGAATGAGTTCATCTTTGGATCTATTGGCTAAAAATAAAATGGGTATATATGATTATAATTATATATCATATGGGAATTGTTACATTGTTGTTACAATTTAGATCATAATCAGACCTTAAAAAACAGCTTCAGATTATAAAATCTTATTTAATATTTAGGCTGTTTTTAAACTGGGGTTCCTCCATTACATCCCACCTTGTCCATTTGAACTCTTTTTCCAGGCCTCCAGCTATGTTTACAATGAATCAGAAACGTAATCTAATAAGCTACTGGTTTGTTTTTGGGTTATTTTGATCAACATCAACGGTTTGGAGGCTTCTCGAATCGTAACTTACCGGCTCCCGTTTCCTTTTCATATCCCGGTTTTCAAATTTCTTAATTTCGGCCTTAAAGCCCTCCGTCTCCCCGGAGTCTTTGGCCAGGACGTCCATCAGGTAGGCGATGTAACTGGTCGCCAGGCGTAAAGTTTTAATTTTAGACAGTTTTGTGTCCGCTGGGACGTTGGGGATACACTCCCTCAGCTCGGCGAAAGCTGTGTTGATGCTCTCCGTCCGCCGGCGCTCCTTCTTCGGCCCCGACGTTCGCCTCTTCCCCATCCCCGCTTGGAGCCCCTCCAGCCGGGCGTCGTGCGTCTCTCCCGGCGCCCCGAGCTCCGCGGCCGGGTAGGGCGCCTGGATCTGGAAGTCCGGGGGCATCTCGCCGTGGTTCACCACCCAGCTCTGGAAATACGGCGCATCCTGGTGACACCGCTGGACAAACGGGAAGGGTTCGTGCATCAGGTGGTGGTGATGCTGGTAGCCCCCGATGAGGTTCATGTTGAGCGGGATAACAAATGTGGTCGTTGCCGTGTTTTCCCTCGCTCTGTCTCTGCTGCTGCCCCAAAACGGTCTCTGCTCGGGGATCTACAGCCAACAGAACTCATTCAAGACTTAAATATGTATCCCCCCCGAAAGCATTAACGAGTCTAGCCAGACGTAGCCACCAACTTTTACATTGTCGTCATTCTGTAAGAGACTTCAACCGAGGTGAAATAGGCCGTAAAGAGGTTTATAATTCCAGACAGCAAAATATCGGCGATGTGCTGCGCTCCCAGTTGTGTTTTCTTCCTTGCGATCGTTTCCCGAAGAGGCTGCTCTGATTTGCCCAAGAAATTTGACCCTGATGAAGGTGTGAGGCCCCCAGGTTTATATGATTTGGATGTCAGCGTAGAAAGGCGGCAGCCAATAGAGGAAAGCGCCCAGGATGGGAGGAGTGTCTGGAGAGGTTTGGAATAACATGCGCCGTGGTGCCATAATCTCACTGCACTACACAGGAAGAAAATATCTGTTGGTTGGAGTTGATTGCGAGCTACACACATGAGGGAGAAAGTTGTTTAATTGTCTCAAGTTTTGTATTAAAAAAATAGGAATTTTGTCCTCTTTTTTTTTTGGAGAGGTTTTACGCACATCATTTACGCAGCCTCGGTTTGGCTAAGACTGTTTATTAGGTGTGATTTTTGTAATTCAGTGGTGGAAATAATTTGTGTTACTTTATTTGTTAACTCGTGGTCAAGTCAAGTAGGAAAATTGGCTACATGAACACAGCAGGGATTTAAAATCAAGGATTCCGTTTGATTTTGAAGTTGCGCAAGAGATTAAAAGAGAGGGGAGAAAAAAAAAATCCTCGGCTTTATCTGACTTCTCAAATACATTTCACGCACAGGACACAAAGGCTCATATATGGAGATTTAGTACCCCAGCCATTGAAAAACGATTTATTTATTTTTTGATAGAGGAATTGTCTCATTTACAAAACACGAATTTATTTTTGAAGAATGAACAAAAAAAAATAAAGGTAAAATGTTTGATGTTAATAACATGACAATGGTTCTAATTAAATCTCCACCCTACTTCAATGTGTTGCTCCGTGCCATAAATAAACTCTGCAACTATGAAATTATCTGTATGTTTTTCTTTCCAGGTCCTTCAGCCTAATGCTTGTTTAAAGATATTCTAGCATTTTTCATATTTTCTTAAACGTGTAATGACCGTTTTGTGCGCACATTATCAGAGTCTCTCCTTTTCCAGTAATAACATAAGGTATATGTCAGGGCGCTCTGGTAAGTGTAAATGAACAGTTTGATGAATTATTTGGCACTTTTGGGACAGGCACAGACCGCGGCCTGTTGTCATCATACCTCAGCAGTATAAGGCAAAAGGCCTGTAGCGGCTTTATCTCCGCATTAATTCACCACAGCTCCTCACACACTAAACACATCATCTTATCTCTATCGCCTAAAAACATTATCCCATTACATTACATGACCTTGACGCTATTTAGAAACCATTTACGGCCGCGTCTTATCTAAATACAGCCATAAATCAAGAGGTGTCACCCTCCAGTAGGGTTACATGTATTCCATAAAAGCTCTCCTGGCCGGCTCACTGTTTACAGCACGGCAGTTTGCAGCATATTTCACCGTTACAATAAATAATCATCAGTCACAACTTTATGTCCCTTATTTTACACGGATGTACAGAAGTCTGCACGGAAATATCCCCGTAAGATTCCTATGCGCATAGTTCTTCACACTTTTTTTTCCTTATGCGCCCTATTGTGCTCGTTTATATGCTCTCATACTATTTCTATAATATCCCGATAGCTTCATATAGTCTCCACAAATTATCCTTTAGGTTTTTTTCTGTTTCGTGTGACATTACTTCAAAAATCCCTTAATTTTCAACCAATAAAATCTGTTGCATTCAACACTTTTTAGTTCTATTTTCTATTTCCTGCTATTACTACTATGCTTATATACTGCGCCTGATAATGTATTGGACACAGTTGGATATTTGCGGTATAGTTTTGAGTATTTACAGATATTTTGCTCAACTTTACACTTCTTTTCTGGAGTTGAGTTTCTTATTCAGATTTAATGGTCAAAACATATGATTGACTCAAAGAGGTTATGCCACCTGGAGCAGCTACAACACTAAAATGCTGCTTTCACTTTAATGCATCATTAATTTCACACTCTGAAGGGAGCCATACCTAATAATGAGCACTGCATGACTTGTACTTCATCTTAAAAGCAGGACTGGAATATTTTGTAATATAATAGCCCTTAATGATAGTCTTTATTTGTGTTGCAATTTTCAAAATAAATAGGAGAACAGACACATAATGACATATAATAGAAATTACTGAAGATCCATAAAGATGAACCAAATTAATCCAAAGAGTTAAAAGAGAGAGCACAGGAAGACTAATGCAGAAATGCACGTTTATAGAAACATGTTTTAGTAGAGATTCATTGCAACTTTTCCTTAAATTATTGAAAATTAAAATCCTGAATAATAAACAACAGAGGATCTGAAAACCTCTGCTACATACAGTATTTGTCCAATATCCATAAAGGGACTTACAGTGTCCTGGAGGTGATTTAATACTCTTTGGTTTTGCCAAACTTATCAGACTTCATAGTATGTGTCTGTATCCTCTGGTGCCAATATAATACATAATATTCTTATAATACTCCATAATGATGTGATTTTTATTGGCATGGTACCTAAAACCTTTGTAACATTTGTAATGCATTTTGGCATTGGAATATGCAGAACTCAGATGTGCAAAATTATAATACAACACAAAACACTTTTAATATGAATGCATCTTTTTAACATTTATTTTGTGAGGAAGGACATCAAATTATTAAAATGTCAAGAATATGTTGCACAAACCTGAGCAACAACATCTTCTATGTTATTTGTACATTTTGCAGGCTATTGCAATTCAAAGTGACTGTCAGGTTAATGATAAGACAAATATAAACAGTACTAATGCACATCTTTAATTCATCACACACATGGCTGCATAAAACAATAATATTACTTATATTATTTACATATTTTTTTAAAGCAAGCTGGTGCTGCTTATGAGCAAAATGAAGACCCATCCTCCTCTCTATCCTGTTTGCCACTCACATGTTACCTCCGCTGTCAGCATGAAAAACACCATACAGGCTCCAGAAAGAAAACCTGACACTGTTGATTAAGACGTCCACTACACAGAGATGAAATACAATACTGGTCACATCCCCCTCTTACTCTTTCTCTCCTTCTCTCTCTGTATCACTTTCTCCTGCGTTTCTCATTCTACTTCTCTCTCCATTCTTTCTTTCAATGCATCACTTTGCACTAAACCTTTAACCAGAACCTTTCCTCTTTTTGATCTCCTTCTTTTTCTCTTTTTTTCTCTTTACTTGCTATCGCAGGAGGTGCTGAAAGACCTGGCCAGCAGTAATAGTCTCTTCATATTTTGCTTTCAGCCCCAATAGACTCCAGTCATCTCTCTCTCTCTCCCCCCACCCCTCTTGCTGCTTTGCCAGGGGAAACATCCAAAATAGGTCATAGGGAGCCATCTTGGCCGTGTTATGAATTCTCCTCATAATTGTTTGTGTCATCATGTAGATTTTTCAATAGACACTGCTTCCCTCCTCTTCAGAGTGCTTACCCTCAACTCTACATTTCCAAACAAATATTCCCCCTGAATCAAAGCCGAGCACGCTCAGCACGGAAATCGCTGCCGAGCACGCTCAGCCCGAAGTGTTTACCATACAGAGGCTCTTACAGCATATATATCCACCTCTGGCGTGCATTCGCACCGACACGCAAAGCTAATTAAACCCATTGGGTAGAATTAGACATAGCGGCTGGCGGCTCCTCCTCATTCTGGGAAATGTGGGCAAACTGGGTCATGCCACTGCAGTCCAGGAGTCATTCAGAGGCCTGATGGGAGAAGAAACCCCACTCAGTTTCCTCTGTGGGTCTGGCTGAAGTTGAGTAAGATGTGGTACACAAGATGCAGAAAAATGTCCATTTCCATTCAATATATACATATTGTACTCTATTGTTGTATTCAAAGTCATATTGAAGTCAGATCTCATCTCATTAAGCCAATAGAACATGGTTTTGGAGAAAATCTCATCATAAATTGAGGTAAAAAGATCAAACCATGGAAAATCCAGTGCTGCTGATTCATCCAGTCTTATTTCAGCTACTTTCAAGCCTCAAACTTCACCAACAATACCTCAAACATGTTCAGTGCTGTCCTCTTCTTTTAGAAATGAAAGGCTCGGTTCAGTCTCATTTGTCTTTAGTGGTGTCTAGCCAGGCAAATATAGATTTGTTTTTATGTGCAAATTCTAAGATGTCTCCTCCCGACAATGGAGGTCAATGGGATTTAATTTGGAGCTCACATTGGAAAACTCAATTAAAAAAATGTAAGTGAGTCAGGATAATCCACAGAACACACTGTTTCCTTATAAAAATTAACCAAATAAACGGTTGATGGTGATTTGGGGATTATCCAGATTAACAGGGCATTGATTCTGGAAAGAAATATTGCTGGGTTTTCTAAATGCAATCTGTCAATGTTGTGAGCACTTATTAATATAAATTCTGATATTTCCAAACCTGCAAAAGATATCACTAGAAATAAATTGGAAAATCTATTGTTCTTTTGTGTAATTTGGGTGAACAATCCCTTTAAAATCACCATAGAGATCAGTATTTTGTTACTTTGCACCTTATGGATGAAAAAACTTTCAGAATACTAATTTCACAACTGAATGCAACCGTCCTCTGTCCTCATTTAGATATTGTATCTTATTGTCTTTTGTAGTTCTAAATGAATTTATTTCATCATGTAAATGCCTGTAACAATACTGCAAAACAGGGCTTGCTCTCAGATGATTTTTGCTCTATGAATCAAAAATTAACCAATGGAGGCTCTGGGCTAATGTCAAACTAAACTAATCTCTGAGCTGCATCTGGTTTTTCCCAATTTTGGTGAAATATGATCTAACTGCAATTGATGTAAATTAATTTGGTTTAAGGTGGAGTAATGTTTAAGTGGATTGGATTAGTTTAATGTGCAATATATATATATATTATAAAAAGACACATGTTTCATGGACAGAATATCAAAATAAAAACCTTTGTACAAATGTGCAACTCTGAGTCTGAGCTGACGTTTCTCAAGCTACAACTCGAGTAATGACTAGTTTGTCATTTGGGAGCTTTACCAGACCATTTACTTTTACTACAGCCACTTCACAACTGTTTTCCTTTTTTCCCAGTTATCTTTCACTTTCTAGTCTGTCTCATTATCTGGACACAGAAGAGAATAAAATATTCAAGAGCAGAAGAATCTTCTGA